TTTATTTTTATTTTTTTATAGAAAGACCAGAATCTTTTACTGGTTTTGTTTTGAGATGATGTATCAACAAATGAGAATGTTTTAAGTGGTAGGCAAGTTATCAATGATGATCAATACACAAATATTTTGGATAGTGTTTCTATTTTGAATATTTGTTTTTTTAAATTTTCAGATTGTACTTTACATATCTCGTCTTTGTCATCCTTATTGCTCCTGTTGTGACTCATTTGTCTTTCTACTGGAATAAACTGTCAGTTTCCAAAGCTGCGTTACTGCGTGCCATGATTCTTCCCATGGGCCTTTAAATAGAAACACAGGTGTGCGAGTGGGTGATGTGTTTCCCCACAACAGGTGACAGTTGGCGTGTTAACTTTTAAATTTCACTGCTCCCACAGCATGGGAGCTTTACTGACAACAAACACTGCCTTTGACACAAACCCCTGATAGGATGGCAGACCGAAGCAGATGCTAAATTGTCCTTTTCTTTGCAAAGTCTGTGGCTCATTTATTCTGACTAGGGGTCTGCGCAGTTGACGTCATTGAGTGGGATCAAAGTGGTATTTACATAAACTCCTTCTGGATGATTGGTCGAGCGACTGAATGCCAGTGGTTCAGGGACAGCTGTCTGTGGATCACAGTGGATACAAACTTATTAAAGTAGCAAATGTAATATAACTGAAAACGAATCAAAGTCTAAATGGGGCCTGGGGAAAACTGCTACAGTTCTTTTTACATAGTTGAACAAAAACATTTCCCCACAATGTCAACAGCTTCTTCTGACTTTTATTGATGTAATTTCAAACATTTAAGAAACCTGAATCTGAGCAGGTGCTCCAGCCAAGCATGACAGCAATTTCACACTTGCAGACACACGATCCAAAGGTAATCACAAACCCTACGTGGGGTTTGCTTTATTTCTCAGTCGTTTCTAGCCTGCACACAGAGGCAGGATGCGAGACATTTCTGTGAGAGATCAAGAGGAGGAGGAGGCTTAAACAGTCGGGATAATTAAATTCTCCTCTCCCTGTCCATCTAGTGGTCTGTCAGCCACGCTCAGCAAGCTTTTCTGGAATTGTTATCCCTCAATAAGATAAGCTGAGAGCACATAGTGTGTTGGTGTAGAACAACGTGGCACATCTTCTTTAAGAAATAAAATGAATGTGATGTGAAGCCCTAAAAATCTCTGTGTGGCTAAATAAAGGGACGGGGTCTTCATTAATGATCCCCATTGTTTCCCACATCTAAAACATAACAGCCAAAGTGTCTACTTGTCAAAATGTCTTCATATTAAGATCCCCTCTTCTATATCTGGCTGCTGTGTCTATGGGAATAGAATCAAATCCTTTAATTACCATGTCAGTGGCATGTCAGTGCACGGTAATTACTTAATTCCGTCGATATGACTGAAAAGGTACAGAAATGACTATAAGCACTTGGAAAGTAATGAGTTTACTTTGGGAAATGCATTGTTTGTATCCAATAGTTTTTTGACTTAAACAGATTACCTACAAAGTAAAGAAAGCCATTCGCATGGCTATTTACGTTCAATTTCAAATCGGCTTTTAAAATCAATACTTAATTCGAAGAGCTCTAAACCTGGGGAAGTATTAAGAAAAGTCTTTTGCAATAATCTCCTGTGCAAATGTAGGAACATGCTTCTTCTGTTCTGCTCGTTCATAGTAAAGTAGCACCATAAGTGGGTCAAAACAGGTCTTATTTGCAAGACCGACTTCTGAGTCGGCACTCTCCCTTTTTATGGCAAGCTTTTATCTATCATCATTATCAGGGAAGAAAGTGGAATGGCATGAAATTATTGAGGGTCAGAGATGGTCAAACAGATGGAAGGCAGCAAGACTTCCACTTAAACTGTCTTCTTAATGCCACAGAATGTCACTCCTCCTCCGCTGTGTCTCTCTCTCCTTTTTTGTTTTTTATTTGCTGGTGACCTTGTGCTAGCCCCCTTAAAAGTTAAACAAGCTCGCTTTCAAAGTTTGATATTTGGTAACATTTAAATTTGTTCTAGGTCACATCAAAGGTTGTTCTTTGTGGAACTGGAAATAATAGAACCGTGCAGCACAAATTGCCTCATTTACTGAGCTAGGACCAGTAACCACTTCAATTTGCATTTTTCATGGGGCAATGTGCCTGAGTCGACCTTTACCTCTTGGCTCAAGATAAGTCAAACACTCTCATTATACTGATGGGGATACTGTAGCTCCCTGGAGCATATGAAAATCTACATCTATGGTACAGTAACATGGCATAATTAGGTGTCTCTATGGTTTTTCTTTACACTTCCTATGTATAACCTTTCAGTATGAATCACAGAGAAACAGCACTCACTGTTGTCCTCAAGGTTTTTCCTCAATTATCAAACACTTTTCTAACAATCTGGATGCAAAAAGTATTCTCTGCAACAGAAACGTTCTCATGGTGCAGCTGTGCTTTCTAATCCATCTATCAAATACTCTGATTATTTTATATTTAAGAAAACTTAGCTACTGTAGCCAAAGATACTAAATTTCAGTTTTGGTGTAAAGAAGACACGTGTGTCATGGGGTGCTCGTTAAAAAAAGTCTTTGATCTGATGTTTTCCTTCAAACAGGCTGAATAAACGTCTTTTTAATTGAATGCATTACTGGCTACTGTAGTGCCTGCCAGTGATGTGCAAAGACTAGAGCATAACTACAAAAAATAGTCTTATCCTAAGAATCAAGCTAACCTTAAAGAACTCATTCTTGTGTTTAAAATTGTATTTAATTCTGCTCTGCTACTGTTTTTGTTCTGTTACAATGAAAACTTCATATTATGTGACCAAATTTTCAGACAGGAGGTAGTTATTGTCACTCCTCTAAAGGTTTTGATCTGTCCATCATGCAAAGCTACTCTAAATAAATATCACGATGTAAATGACTATAATAAGTCACCTTTAAATCATTTTTATTTTAACAAAATGGTCCAACTACTTTGAACTAGATGTGCAGTCATAATACAAGTGCACCCCACAATTCAGTAACTTGTGTAACCACCTTTAGCAGCAATAACTTGAAGTAATTATATTCTGAGTCTCCCTTTACTGGACCATTGCAAGACCTTGATTATTTTCTTTTCCGCCAATCTGTTGTATATTTGCTGCTTCATTTCTGTCCTTTCTTCTGTTCCTTGACCTACTTTAGGCAAAGCTTTAACTGTCAGTCAGATGACCTCACATTGACTCTAGAGTACTAAACACAGGAGTTAATGGTCAACTCAGTGATCTCAAGGTGGCCAGACCCTGTTGCCGCAAAACAAGCGCAAATCATCACCCGTTCACCACCGTGCTTTACAGTTGGTATGAGATGTAGATGAGATGTCCAAAAGACATTCTTCCAGAAGTGCTTTGTTCAGATGCAGCTTCTTCTTTGAGAGGCAAGTCTTTCTCTAGTACAATTAGAAAAAGACTGCTTGTTCAATCTTTTACTGCCATGAACCTCAACATTCAGCAAGGTAAATTGAGCCCATAGAGTCTGAGATGTAGCTGCTGGGTTTTTTGAAGGATTGTACAGTCTGACCGTGGGGTGATTTTGCTGGGAAGTCTGAAACTCTTACAAAGATTGGCAGTTGTCTTGAATGTCCCCCACTTGTGGATTCCCAAATTGGTGGGCAGCAACAATTGTTTCTCAGATTATTGCTGATGTCTTTCCTGCTAGTGATCAGTTAATGAATGAATGCACTTACCTTTTCAATTCCCATGAAAAAAGTCAGGGTGTGACTATCAAATAAATCATGGTTTGATATGTTATGAGCTCTTTATCTCAGGATATAAATTTAGTACCTGCTAAGGAAATATCATAGGCAGAATACTGGTCACATAACTCTTTAATGTTAGAGTTACACACAATCCCCAAAAACATTTTTTCTGTGTTGTGTTTTTCTGTGTGAATTTTAACCATATAATTTTTGGAACTATAAAAACTTAATGTGAAGTATGACCAGTGGTTGGTGCAGTCTGTACATTACCCATGTGGCCACGTCTTCTGTTGACATGGCAACACTTGGTGAGCTCAGGTGAGCTGGGAGACTCACGTGTCTGACTTGGTCATCTGCCAGGCTTGGAACAGTTCATGGAAATCTGAGACACAAGAAATGCTGAGCCTATTGTTGAGTGGCGTGCCTATTTTCTTCCTTCACCTTTCCCCAGGCAAATCAATTTACTTTCTACAGAATGAACGCCTTACGACTTTCATGAGAAAGTCTATCGCTGCATCTGTCCGACAGGCAGGGCTGGGCGAGTGATAAAAATCCAAATCTCACATCTGTTTGCATGGCTGGTCGCTATGATGGAAATGTACAAAGAACGTTTTTATTCTGTATTCTGTGGAGAATTAAGAATCACGCACAGTGCAGACACTCGAATGGCAAACAATAAGATTCTTTATAATGTAAATTTATTTCTGTCTTCAACGATTGACATGGTAGCAGATTACAGAGAAACAGCAGCACCATTAGTTACCCTCTTTTTGTTGTCAGCTGCGGTGCCAGTTTGTCTCCTCATCCGACTTACCGTCCCACTCTCCCAGTCTATGATCACTCAGAATATCAGCAGTATCTTTCACATAGTTTATTTATATATGTGTCCTGCTGCTCTTTCACTTTGCCCCTCAGCAGGAAGGTCAGAATACAGGTCAGAGGCTCAGACTGAGCCTCAGGAAGTGACTGGGATTCAGTGTCTCGTTCAAGGACGTGTTAGTAGAAGGGATTCAGGCTGTCTCGAGAGGTTGACGTTCAGTATGCTTGATGTTTTATTTAGTTACATGTTGCTGCCTGTTATAATTTCTAACTCTGAGATTAAAAATTCTTAGTTTTTGGTTGTTTTGTCACATTTGCAAGTCACACAATTGCTCTCATACCCTTCAGCTGTTAATTGGAAACGATTGGGAATTAGCTTCCACTTTGTTTATTAGCT